GCCATGCAACTGTAACTGCATACCCAGCGCAACGACTATACCCCATTTCACTCCCATTATAATATTTAACTAAACGCGCAAAAACATTGGGCGAATATAAACAAACAAATGTTTAAATTATTTCATTTAATGACGTGGTTTCCTTTATGAGGTATTCTTTTCTGTCCATATGTATATGTGCATATAAGATGCGAATGCAGCTAAAATTCTTTGAAGGTTATAGGCATGTTTTATTCAACCATCACTAGCAAATAGCTAAATCTTGGTCAAATAAAACGAAATTAGCTTATTTCCTATGTTAGCCTAATTTTGACAGTTGTTTGACTGCAAATTGTGTCAAAGTAAGTTTTTCATAAGCCAATATAATTATGTTGGGTAAGTCCTCCATACAAAATAAGCTAATAGCTTAAATTTCTGGACAAATAAAACACGGCTATTATTGAAGTAATCCTTATTACTACACCTGGTATAATTTCATCATGATGAGGTTGAATTCATGCTAATTTGTAGCAAACATTGCACGCGCACCTCATAGGGTTAATTTGTTTGTTTACAGTTTTTTGACATTATAACTAGCTACAAGAGAGATCGAGCTAGTTGTCACTTTTACCTTGTTAAATATGCCTTGATTGAAACCATGATTCATTAATTAAAGGTTTGCTCATTAGCGACATTAGCTAAGCCTTAAGCTAAGTGTACACGGTAGAGAAAATACGCGAGATTTAGACAAAAATCTCGCTAGAGACGTGTAAACACTCAATAGAGCTCTACGAGAGACTCACCCACAAAGTCTATGTGAGAGTTATTTAGCGAGACTTCTTCGCCGTGTACCCAGTCCATTAGCTCCCTTACAAAAGCTTTGCACACACACACGAACCCACACACAGTGCCTTGCTAAGGGAGCCGATTTTGTCAAGAGGGAGCGAGAAAACTGTTGAGCAAACCTTTTATTATAAGGTGTGTACTCGTATTGAGAGGACAGAATTCTCCAGCAGCAAATGTTCTGAGAATTTAGCAGCATTCGCTCTCAAAGAGACGAAATATCCACAGAAGTACGAGAATGCAAAATTTGCAAAAACTTGCAACCTTCGAAACAGCTGATCACTTGCACAGTTGCCACTGGTGATTAATTTGGCAATTTATTCTCTGCTTGGGTGCATTTTCCCCCGATTTGGCATTTTATACAATTGAATAGTTTTGGATAAGAAAAGCCTTTTTAAAATACGAATTAATTATATCCGAATGATTAAGTTATTTTTCTCATAATTATTTGTGATATCACATGGTGACGAATTAAAAACAAGAGTATCTCCTCCAAAATCCAAAATCCAAAAAAATTGAATAGAGTAGGTTTAAAATTATAAAATTTTAATTTCAACAATCAACCTACCAAAACCGAAAACTTCAGCAAAAAAACATTTCAGTATGCTTCATTTAAATATATTTTGGTATATTTAAAGGAAAATTATGGTACAAACGAAAAATGTCATACGGCAACCATAGTCAGCACACCCTAAAGCAAACAAACTGGAGATCAATAGCAAATTAACGAAAAATAAACTCAACAAACGTTGTGCTTATTAAATTTACGCACTTTTTGTTGTATACTAGCATTAATAATAAAATTTGCAATTACTAACTCAAAAAGGCCATATTTTCTTTTGTTTATTTACAAACATGTGTTTGTGATCGGCTGATTTTCTTACTTGCAAGTTTTAGCTGGGAAAAATTTTTCCAGCAGAAATTTGCAGCTCTCTTTCACATTTTGCTCTCTCAATTTCCCCTACTTTGCAAGTTTTTTGGGTACGAGAACGCAAAACCAGTAAAAGTTTTCTAAAACTGTAGATAGTTGGGCGTACGAGTACACTCCTATTGAATCATGGATTGAAACTGGATTCTTTTTTGTATCATGGTTTATGGATAGCTATCGAAACATTTATTTTAACATAACAAAGTACAGCGCATCGTTTATTAACTTACACAAGACTAATCGAACAATTTTTTTTTTTACAGGCATTCCCATGATATCACCCTCTGAACTAAATTGGTCACACATGCTTTCGGCTGGCGTAAGCACACCTACAACTCCGCATGCTAACACGCCAAGCGCTACACTAATGCATGTGCCTCAATCCATACCAACATTGGCCGACCGCTTGGAAACGTATCGCCAGCTGGCCACCGGACGCATGCAGAATTCCATGGGCGGTGCTATACTCGCTGCAAACACCATTGTATCGCAGAGTCCACGCGCTGTAAACTACACCACCAGCCTGGTGGAGCGCACCAGAGATCTACGTAACTGGCTACGGCAGGCTAAGACCGAGCACGAGTTGTTAACCGGCGCCGCTGGACCCATGCAGCATGGCAGTTTGGGAATATCAGCTAATGGAATTGGTGTGAACACGGTGAGCTTGCTAAATACTAGGGAGTGTGGCGGAGTCAGTAGTGGTGTTGGTGTCGGTGCCATCGCCGGCGCTGGTACAGCAACCACAACTGGTGGAGGCGGCGGCACGGGCACGCAGACAAACCTATAATTAGGATATAATGTTTTCTGCTGCTGGCGCAGTCAGGAACCCAGATCTTAAGTCATGCTTAGGTAAATAAATAGTAACAGGAGTTAAATGTACTGAAGCATGCTTGTAGACTTACAACGTTATGAGTCAAATATTAGTAAGATCACCAAGCAAAGTTCTAAAATTAACCTCTCAGAACTTAAAATAGAGAGCCTACGGACATTCGTCATAGTGGACTAATCAGCTACATTAAATAACTTTGCTTATGGTCTTAATAATTTTACACATGACTCTAGTTGCATACCTACATATGTACATACATATGTAAGTACATACATATGTAAAAAAACACATGGATGTACTTAGAAAGCCTAGTCAAGAATTACAATAAACTGTAAGCGCTAATAGCATTTTGTAGTAGATGTGTGTAGGTTAATTACAGTACTTACTTGCAAACGTACAAGTATACATAATGTTTTATTGGATCTCAAATTAAAACCAAAGATAATCGTTGTTGAAACTAAAAGATTGAATATAATAGTTGTATTTGTAATATTGCTTTTGAAAGAGGAATAAATAAAAAAAAAACTGTATTTTGGTGCCAAATAGTCGAGGCTGCGGATATTGAGAGTATTTACAGAGGAAATGTGGAAATGATTACAGTCAAAGTTAGTATTATTTGATAGGGCTTGCATGCAACACTTGAAAAAAATATTAGCAAAATTCAAAATGAAAACTTAGTTAAGCAGCTGGCATTTGAAAATTATGGGAAAGCTGTTTTGACGCCATTGGCTAAATAGTTAAAGGTACCTACATTCATATTGACAATGTGTGTGAAGACTAAGCTCATATTTTAGGTTAGCAAACCTGGAAAATTAGGTAGTGAAATTCGACGTGTAAAAAGTAGTCAATGATATATTGTAAACTACTTATATCATCTCCACTGCTCCACATAAAGAAGAATCGGGTTTCCATCCCCAAGAAAATTTAAAAAAACTTGACAAATTTTGAAGGTTAGGTTAGGTGGCAGCCCCGCGCATGGCTCATTTAGACATTTCTTATGTGGTCCGTTGTGTAACGACTTAAAACAATTTTCCTGGAACTATAAACGCAGGTTGTTTACATGAAGCTTAGCTTGAAAAGCGCTGGGTGCTTAAAACGAAGTTCCGCTGGCAGCTAATGTTCAGCACGGGACTGTTGAAGAAATACGACCCGGAATGCTTTAATCTTAGCACTAATATGAGAAGCAAATGCTGAGATGATACCACCTCTTCATTTTCCAAACAGATACGTCAGCAGGAGTCCGATACGATATTAAATCGTATAACGTGGGTTCCTAGTGGAGAGCTGCCGTTTGGTCAGCTGAATAGGTCCTTTGATTTACTGTGGTCGACTACCGGCCATCAGAACTTCGCAACTTTGCATGTCGCGTTATAGGAAAATGCTTGGCGAGTAAACTGAAAACCTATCTGTTCAAAAGCAGTCCGCATATTGACAAAGCAACTCCCACGCCCTCCCTGGCAAAAAAGAACACCTCAGCAGTGTTGCCATATTAGGCGTTTTCCGGCTATATTTAGCCGGTTGCGAAAGCAAACAGCCGGAGAAATCTCGATTTAGCCGGCAGCCGATTTGTTGACCGCTTTGCCAAAAATTAGCCGTTTTTGTTAGTTGCAATATTTTCTTAAAATTCATATATATAATTTTCGGTTTTTAAAAAATTACCGACCCGAAATCTGTTAGAAATGGGTAGCCTTATCTCGTAGCAATTTTTCTTGTCGAAGTGTTTTACATATATACAATTGAAAGACAATTTTTGCTAATCTGAAAAGTCTTCAAATACTTTGCCGATTTCAATGATTTCTTTTAAGCACATATACAATGACCCAAATATAAACTGAGATGCGACATTTTAGCAAGTTTTGCTAATTTTTCATTGGTAAATTTAATGTTTATGCTTTATTATAAAAATATAGCTGATTACTTAAAAAATACCATTTAAATCCAAACTTCATACTTTGTGAAAATATTATGAAATTTTTACCCACATTTCTAACTTTTTAATCAGTATCTTTAGAAATTTTAAATTTTAGTATAATAAAGTAAAAATTTAAAGTACCTAGTATTTACCACTGATTTTTGGCAATTTTTTTGTTGACTGTGGTTCGCATTTTTTCATATAAAAAACTCGTCGAACATACTTTTTATGGCAAAAAACTCGTAACACCGTCTTTAAAAAAAATGCCAAAAATCAGCGGTAAGTCCTCGCTAATTCAAATTTGCACCTCATTAAATTAGAATATAATAGACTACAGAACTGCATACCATATTTTTTTTCTATTTGGGTCACTGTACTTTTTCCAAAGAACATAGCGGGGATTTTTTCTTAAAATTTTTGTTATGAATGTCTTAATTTTTAGTGTGAAGTTTTGTTCGCAATACTTGGAAAAACGGATGAGAATAAAAGAGCACGAATTTCCATGGGAAGCAAAACTCTCTGGGAAGACAATATCTATGAATAATTGTATCGTGGTGCTAATATCCTTTAGTGTATAGTGTGGCTCTGACAAGCGTGTGCAGAGAGTTGGCAGTAGCTCGTTTCTGAAACAATTCTCTACCAAGGAGAATTGAGATATGAATTCGCCGCCCTGTTTTCTACTGCTAATGAGTAGTAGAGAATGACGTATATTCTCTACCAGTAGAGAAATAATCGGTAGAGAAGAGTTACAAAAACGAGCTACAGGTCTTTAAAAACGGGAGCGTTTCGAATATATGGACATCAAAATAAAATTATATAGTTTAATTGTTAAAAACTTAAAAATCGACCGGCTTGTTCAATATAAATTACTGGCTTTTTTTCTCGAAATAATGTTGCCCTGTTTTCCTCACCCTTTTCACAGCTTTACGTGTTCATTTAACAAAATATTTCCCTCCGAATAAGCAAAAGTGCAATAATTTCTACTAATATAGCTATTTTGTAGGACGAAAAGTAACCTAGTGCAAATGTTACAATATAAGAAGGCGAAAAATTTCAGTGGAAAGAAACGTCACAAGTTTGTAATTGATCTATTTTTTTATATTTATGTATGCAATAAAACATGACTTCCGATGTAGAGCTTGAATTAATCAAGTATAACGACAGTTTCCTTTGTTGTCTAAAAATAAGTTAATGAATTTATTAATTTTTCTACTTTATTCAAATAAAACATGTTAATTTTAGCTGAAACATTTTAGCCGAGTTTTCGGAAAGTTTAGCCGGTCGGCCCAAAAATTCTGACAACAAGGCACCTCAGGGTCTGCCTAGAAAATTTATCAGCATTACTGGCTGCCACTCTCCAACTTATCCCCTAGAATGATGTGTTTGGTAAAGGATCCAATCGGATCACTCTTTCTTCTGGCAAATTAACTCTTGGGATGAATCTTACCAAAAAATCAGCAGGACTACATTGCTGCCTTTTTCGTCCAGGCTTAAGGAATGAATGAAATCTAAGCAAGAAATTTTTCTGATAAGCAAGGATCTAAGCCTGCGAAGTTTAGTGAGAGCACGACGAACGCATCTACATATAGTCGTTGAAAGTACAAAGCCGCGTATCGTCATTCTGCAAAACCCCGTAATTGACATTTGCTGTCAAAAATTGGATTAGCTCACACAGCTCTGGGCTCAATCCTTATCCATTCGTCCTGAAATATACTAGCCAGAAATGCGATTGCTTTATAAAAGAAAAAAACATTTTGAAATATGAGTGTTTTTACTCTCTAGAACATAATTTATGCAACCTCACACACGCGGTTTCGCATTATCTTGATACGGGGTTTCGCATTTTGTTGACACGCGGTTTTGTACTCTGAACGACGATATGTATTTAAGTATCGTGTTAAGTGAGAGCTTTTCATTTTTTGTACAGTAATTTTAATACCAATTCAAATTACTTGCAGAGTTTACGTCTAAGTTTATACGAGATGTTGAAGGTTCCGGATGCCCACAGCGGAGATATCAGCCAGACTGAAAAAATAAGTATTAAAAATGTGGAGCTTCTGTCAGTAAAGTAAAATACCAACTACTTTACACAGGAGGGGATGGTTCAGACGGATTAGAGACTTTCAGAGAAGCTTGGCTAGTAATTTACCTGCGTGTTTCCTTGACCATTTTCCATTTGCCAATTCATTTGGCAAAGATAACCCAGAGAGCGTCTTTATTTTATTTTATTTCATATTTTTTTTTTTTAAATTCAGACTGGAAGACACTAAAATAAACAGGCAGCTGGCTGAAGTTTTGGGAGAGCTCTTGCGGCAGGATCCTACTTACGACTTTTCAATTTTGAGCCATGGCCAAAAATTAGAGTAGATTATAGAACTAAGTTTGTCAGTTTCTCCATTCGCTCTAGTGCTGAACCTCTTAAAAAGCAGAAGAATATACTAGTTCACAAAAAAACTACTGAAATCGCACCCAGAATTTTTGAAAGGCCAAGGTTCAGGTGTAGGCTGAATTCAAGCTGCTTGCTCTGTAGCTCACCTGAAGCTTACCGTAAACGTCGATGGCAAAAAACTCAGCCTAATTTCTACTTTATAAACTTTTCTAAGGCAAGCCATTATACTATGGTGATACCTTGGAAAAGTATGAGTCGAACAACCATTGGACATTCATCGATTAGTTTTCCGCGTTTTAATTAGTATAACACATATTTATGAATATCCGTAGCGAAGTGTGAATATTTTTTAATTGGAAAACGGCTAACTCTTATCTACCACAAGTTTCCCATATATATTTTCTTTCAACTTCATTAAATAATCAAAATGAATAGTGGTTTCAAGCTGAAAATGTATATTGAATCCCCTAGAACAGGCGCCGGTTAGACTGAATGCATAATATTTACTCGTAATCGTACATACAAACA